CTCCATTTTTTTCTGCTGAAGTCAAGCTGACTCCTCTCCCATGCTCTCCCTGTCCCCAACTCCATATTTACATTCCATCCTTGGACTTTGACAAAAGGGGGAAATTATTTATGCTGGGGAGAGGAGAGGCAGGAGCTCAGGCCAGCCTTCTCTCAGCCCTTTTGTCCACTGTCCCCTACAAGGACTATGCCTATGTGTAAGTGGCCACAAAATTTTTTATCATACTTTTAAATATTTCCAAACAATTTTATTTATGGCAGATTGTAAAAATGAATGATTTAAAATAAAACTGTTACATCACTCCTAACATTACCCCAAAGAATCTAAATGGCATTGTGATTTGATAACTTCCATCATCTATTTTGAAAAAAAAATGAACAAGTTCTACGTGAACAGTTGAAAATTTTACACCATTCCCTTTTCTTCTTGAATGGCTCCATTTCACCTCCCCATAGAACTTTAAATAATACGTTTCTATGCTTACGAATCTTCTATTGCTCACCGAATTAACAAATTGAAGTTTTGATTGAGCTATTATTACAATTACCTATATTGTACAACCGATGAAAACAAAGGTACTGTAAAACTTGGCAAATATTTATTATTTACAAAAAGATAATTAAAAACTTTTAAAAGTACATTCTTTAACTGGAGTAAGAAGGTGAACAAGATAGACAATTAAACAAGAATCATCATGCTCATCTGTTCCACAGTCTCTGTGAATTCGGATTATACCAATAGAAATCCAAACCCAAATGCCCTATTTCTAATTTTATGTCAAGTCCTTGGAAAGTCCTTTGTACCCCAAGGTACACACAGAGCTCTGTTCTAGGCAGGAAGAGTCACAACAATGGCCCATCAAGAAGTATGGGAATTTCTGCAGAGGTTGGCACAAGAGGAGAGAGCTTGCAGATGGCGGAGTGTTGTGGCGCCATCAATTTTAAGACCCACGGAGCCAATTGAGATGAATCGTGAGCCTTTATTAGCCGGCCGGCAACTGACTCTCTACCACGCAGGAGCAGAGGAGATCAGCCCCGAGCTTCCAGAGGAGGCAGCTTATAAAGCTTAAGACCATATCCTGGTGGTCTTCTGAACAAGCAAGCAGATTACGGAAAGCAGATGTTGGCTGTAAACGTCTTACACAAAGACAAATGTTTCCGGGGAACTCTTAGATCAAACAGGGCCTCGCAGGCAGTTTCGTTATCTGCATCCTGGTGGCTGTCAGTGCTTTCCTGGGGGCTGGCGCCTGAAGATATCCCTTCCCTATGACTGATTTATTGGAAAGTTTTTCACTCCTACAGGAGAAGGACTTTATTAAACCCACTTCTCCGTGAAAACAACGAGAACACATCGAGTTGGGGACAGAAGATGAGAAGATTCGAAAATGGTTCCGAAAGGCAACGCCTATTTGACTAGAAGGTGGCTGTGTTTTCTGAGGGGTCAGTATGATAGAAGTGGCTAAGAGAAAACCGGAAAGTATCCACTATTTTATTAAGTCGGTAAAGAGAGAGACTTGGGGACAGCGAGTGCCGTGACACGAAAAGGGAGACAGAGCGCCAGGGAGACCTGGAAGCCAGTGGCAAACATGAGGCTGATGAAGGCTGGAAATTACTGGGTTTGCGGGGAAGCCGGTGAGCGCAACGTGGCCGGACAGTAACCCCTGCTGCCTCTGATGAAGGACGTCACTGTGTCAAGGAAACCCATTTTGCATACTAATTGACATTACGTATATATTTTAGTGGAATGCCTTGAAAATCTGTCATTATCCATAAGTTCTTGCATGCCCCCAGATCGATTTTTTAATCATTTAAAAAATTATTTTCAGCACCCTCTTTGCATGCTGCTTCGAAAACTTCAGTCAGGGCCAGGTTTCCTCACTTGCGTCAAAGGGCTATTTTGTGAATGTGCCTCTTTCGTAAATGTGAAGTCACACCCTGCCTCAAGCTTGGCAAAGCCATTCTTATCCTCAGGGCAGGAAAGAAAGAGACACTTTGGGATCACATAGTTGGTTAGTAATGTAGTGAAGTAATTGACTATAAATTAGGGGAAAATGTTTTACGAGGGTTGTCTTAGTATTTCCAGCTGCTTAAAGAAACACTGTTTGCCATATTCTACCAAGATAGGAGTGAAAGTACTTAATCCCTATTTGTTATGATGTCAAATGGAGCAAATTAGTACACCTGGCTTCCTGTGGCTATCCTGTTAGTGATATTATCTTTAAAAAAAAAAAAAAAAGCAGGCATCATCATCTGATTTCATCCAAACGAGGATCACCTTTATTTTTTTATTTATTTTTTTATTTATTTGAAATTCCTTTTTAAGTATCGTATCCCTCACATTCTTGTGGTTCCCTTATCTGCTTTTCCTTCACTGAATTAGTGCTACAAAGTGCCAGGTCTCAAAGTCGCCAACATGGTCCTTGCTCTCAAGCTGGTCACATTCTAGCTGAGCAAATGCTGTGTCACCAACTCGTTGTACAGACCTGATTTAGAAATCTTTCCGCCTTCTAAATGTTACCAGCAGGCTTTTGAAAAATCAGGCATGTCAAACATTTCCAAGGTTTTTAAAATGAATACGAAAGAAACCACTTCGGTTTCTTTATTCAGAAGAGAGTGTTTAAATAAAATATCTTGTGACGCTCAAAGAATAATTCATAAAACTTAGTCCAGCTAACTACATGTGTAGGTAGTAGCTATTTTAAGTAAACTCGAAAAACTGAATTTTCTTTTATAAAAAGGAGAGTAAATAAACAAGATGCCTTTTCATGTTCAAAGGCATTTACTGTTAACTATGAAAGGATTTCTCTTTGAGGGGGGGCAGAAGCAAGTGGGGAATCAGCTGGAGAAGGGGACTGGTAAGCCGTGGGAGGTTCAGACCAGAAACCCTCCCTATCCACCCAGGCCATCCACACACGCTTAGTGACATTGACCGTGTACCTGCCCTGTATGGCTGGGGGCCATAGCATCTGGGGTGGATTGTTTATTCATAGAATGACTTTATTCTATTTAATAATAGAATCATTATTCTATTATTAAATAATTTGCAATACAGGATAAGTCTCGGGTCTCTGAGCATATACAACAGGGGACATGATCTACCGCAGCCGCATGATCTTTAAAAGGGAAAGTAATGACTTGATTTTTTTTTTAAGCGAGTTGAAAGAATGCCACAGGCCGTTTCATTGAGCTCATCGAGATTCTCTTAAAGAATTTGAACCTCGGCCCACACATGCAAGACTATAATCCTTACTGTGATTATCTCATGCCTCTGTGCTGGATCCTGATATAAGTAAGATTTTATGTCTTCTTATCACACAAAAGGAAGAAAGCACAGCCTAAGAGACTGAGTGGCCACGCCACAGAAGATGCTTTGAGGCTGGTGACCACAGTCTCCGTTTGCATAAAGCAGGTGCAGCGGAAACCTGCAAGCCTGTTGCGAGCAGAGGCCTTTGCCTGCCATCGCTTCCTTCTTGCGGCCATTTTTCCTTGTACCTTCTAATAAACATCTAGCCTCCTCTTTTTCTTTCACTTGTTAGCCTTCCTCTTTTAACAGCGCCGATGCCTGTGAGTGTCAGAAAGACTTTCTCACCAGGTCCGCCTTCGCCGAGGGGGCAGTGCTCCCAGAGTCTTCATCCTCAGGCCTGGACCCTCCCCCAGCTGGACACACACACTCCATATGTGCCCGCACCTCAGACTCAGACAAGCTCGCTTCGGTGTCACCCCGCCTGGCTTTCCCTCCTCGTTTCTCTCTCCCACCGCCCTCTAACGCCTAATCACCTCGGTCAAATCCACCTTCGCCTTCTTTCTCTGAACCAGGGTCCTCCCACTTGAGTGTGTGTTTAAATCACCTGTTTGCTGGGCTCCACCTCCAGCATCAGCAGGTGGGGGGTGTGGCCTGAGAATCTGCACATGCAACAGGTGCAGCCCTGTCGTCACTAGGTCCTACTGTCCCTTCCATCTCGTGGCCTCTTCTCAACTGCTCCCACTGACTCCCTTTCATTTCACCTCGTCAGGACATCCTAGCTGGGGTCCCCCGTGCCTCTCCCCCTGCACCCCAACCACCCTCTACATTGTTCAAGATGTCCCTACTGCTCAGAGAATATATTCTAGACTCCTAATGTGGCATCTGAGGTTCCCCATAACTGCACCCCAAACTCCTGCAGTCTCCTCTCCTACTCCATCCCAGTAGAGCCCCTCTGCTCTGAGCATGGTGACGTTCCGTTCCCCCAAATGCTTGGTTCTGTTTCCACCTCTTTCGTAACGGTTCTGAGCATTGGGAATGACAGAACTGGGACCAAACCTCAAACATCCCACATCCTCCGTGTGTGACTGTACAGCCAGTCACTCACCACGGAGAGCTTCAGAGTCCTCGTCCCCAAGTTTCCTGGTGACGAGCACCCCTGGGCCCTCCTCACAGGGATGGCATAAGACTGATGAGAAAACCCACTTAACACACGTATCGCGGTGCCAGACACGTAACAGCTGCACGACACTTCATGATATTTACATACATGTTTATTAATTTGTACAAAATATATGTCATCTCCATGCTGTAGCCCAGGGCTGCTGTCTGAGCCTATAAATAGGGTTTCTCTGATTGAAGGTATCGGCGCTGTTGAGGTGAACCCCGAAACCCCGAGCTCATTAGCCATCCATTCACCTGACAAGCCTGGTCCTCTAATCAACAAATTTGAGAGCCTCTTCCCGTGTTAACTGAATCGGTAAGGGTGTCTGGTCTTGAATAGTCACATGTCATTTACTTTATTCTTAGCTAAGTTGATATGACAGTTCAGGCAGGAGCGAGGTTTTCGCTATCGATCTCGAAGAAGCCAAGACATGTTCTTATTATATCCAATGGACCGTGGTCAGTGTTATTTCACATTTACCTATGTAAAGTTCTAAATCTGCAAAACAAAATTATATTCTCTGAATTTTTTAAAATCTAATCTTCCCTTTAAGAAAAAAAAAATGTTTTTTGTAATTTTCTTATATTTTTTTTAGACTTACCTCCAATTCCTTCAGCTTCCAGAACAGGCTTTGCAGAATTTTTCATGAGGGGACGGATGAGGGAGAAATTACAAGCCGCAAGGGTGAGAGAATATTTTGTTCAGTGCTGATTGCGAGTCTTCGAGTCTTGTCTAGCTGGCTTTGTTTGCTCAGAACCGTGTGGATTTGATGACCGTTAAACGCGGTTTTCACGGTTTAAATGTTAATGTCGTATCGAACACTGGAGCAGATGGAAATCATTCCTAAGAAGAATTTAATGTCATGTTTCTAAACCACTGCACTTGCTGTTAGCACCTTACGAGACAGAGCGTGTATTTTTTGCTGATTTTGGTCCACCGAGTTGGTGACTGGTTTTCATAGCATTCCTGACCTTCTGGAGCAGTAATTTTCTGTTTGACTTTTTAGTCCAAGGCAGAGAGTGCGTTGCTGCAGGACATTCCCACGCCTCGGCCCAGACGCTTACGAAGCCCCAGCGAGAAAGACTCGGAGACTGACTTTGGCACGGAGGTGAGAAACAGGCCGTCTCTGCTTTACGCTCAAAGACAGCGAAGCAAAGATCACATTTCCGACACCAGTTCTAGAACAGAGCTGTGCACAGAGGAGGCGTTAAATCCTTATTGATAATTATAATAGCCGCCATTCATGGAGCATTACTCAGTGACAGCCAAGTCCTTTCCCCATGCTACCGCATGTCCTTATCCGAACACGCCTGTGGGGTGGGTAATTTCCATTCCCATTCGACAGATGAGCAGACAGGTTCAGAGCAGCTGCCCAGCTGTCCCCAGGTCACAGAGCCTGATTGTGGAGGAGCCAGGATTTCCTCCCAGCTCTCATTCCCAGTCTGCCTCACAGCTCTGACCTGCTGGGTCCGCGGATCTCCAGGAAACAGAGAGAAAGAGAGATGAGAGCAAGGGCAGATGGTGGGGACCCTGAACGTTACACAAAGGAACCGTGATGGTTTTCGACAAGCCCTGGAAAGCTATCGGTGATCGGTGATCGGGCGGGGAGGTGGTTTGAATACCCTGGAGTGATTTCTGCTCGAATCTGAGGTGCTATCGGAGCATCTCAATATGCGGCCTTTTAGAGATGTGAGTAAGGAAGGGGCCAGGCATGGAGAAACAGATTAAGGAAGCAGTTCGCCGTGCGGAGTTTGGAAGTTTTGAGAACGCCCTCGCTGCCTGAGGGAAAAGACTAAAGGTGGAGGGTCTTGACGCTTGCAGAAAACCCTATAGTAATGGCCCCCGGGGGAAAGAGAAAGCCAGTGAAAGATAGAAAGACTTGTCAGGGATGTGAATAAAGGACAAGCGTGTAAGAGAAGAGAAGAAGGAACTGAAGGAACAGCAGAGCTAGTGGCTCAGTGAAATGCTTGCGAGTCTAATCCAACCGTCTGTCGCTACGGGTGGCGATGGTCGGGTTGTTTTTCACCCTTGAGGCAAAGAAGCATGGGCTTATACGGTAATACTTCCGTAGCACAAACATTGTTTTCTTAAATGATGCTTTTTCTTTTGCTGTGCTGAGACGTTATAAAAATTTAATCTTTATCCATCCTAAATAAGCCAAAGATTGCATGCTTATCAGAAAAGCTGCAGCGTGCTCAGGGTCTACAGTTCTTTAGTGGGGTCATTCAGTGGGTCCAAGGAAATGGCTTTGCTACAATTTGCTACTGCATTCTACTGGGGAGATATTTTTCTTTAATTCTGATGTATTATTTCCTTGGAAGAGCCATAATTTAAAAATATCAGAAACTGAAGAAAAACTAGCTAAAATCTCATCGGCTCGACACATTCACAAGCACATTTCTTCGTGTATATACTTCAACCTAAGAGGAATATCTAAGAAGTGGCCCATTTATATCCTACGGAGCAAAGACTGTAGCACACAAAGAACTCAGGTGTTGGCTCTCAGCTGTCCAGTGTTAAATGCTGGCAAGCTTGCCCACTAGCTGTGTGACCTTGGACACGTAACTTATCGACTCTCTGGACCCCACTTTCCACTTCTGTAAAATACGGATACTAGCAGAGCCTAAATATTGGTATTGTTTTGAGGATTCAGTGAGTTCATACATGTTACAGTGTTTCAAACAGTGCCTGCCACATGGCAAAGCCCTCTCTAGATAGGTATTAGCTAATGTTAGAAGCTGGGACATCAGAGAGAAAAGGAGAAACCAGTTGGTCAATAATTCAACTTCGCCAACACAAACCTGCATTAGCTTTCTCTCTATTGCATTTCTCGTCACTTTATACTCGGCAATTTCTGATAAGAGAATAAAGCCAAACACAAATCTCCAAGAACACACAAATGCCAAGGTAGAAATAACGCAGAACATGAGTACTTGGCCTCCAGTAGACCGGACCAAAGTGTCTCTATTCATGGGCCTGGTTCAGTGTCCCAGGTTACCCACAATCTGATTCTCTGATACACTCTACCTGTTGTCCAGCCAGCATCTGTGGGAGACTCCAGTGGGTTCTGAACTCACAGTGACGACAGTGGCAGCCACCCTCAAGGAACCAGCGGGCATGGCGGACATGTTAACAGACAATGGACGTACAAGGTGGTTAAGTGGTGCTAGGTGAAAAAGAAGGAGCAGTTAGGTTCTAGGAGGGGTGGATGAGGAGAGAGATGAGGACAGGTGGGAACAGGACCTGGTGGATCGGCTAGCAGAGGATAGAAGGAACGCTCATAATGAATATGAGCATATCAGGCCAGTGTAGGCAGAAGGCTCGGCTTCCAGTGAGGCAGCACATCGCCAGGCTCATGAGGAGGGCGGGCCGTGCGCCACGGAGGGGGTGAGTCGGACTTACTTACAATCGGACATTGTGGGTGCTTTTCTTCATAGACCGTTGGGAAATGATCATCTCTGAACTGGAAAAATCTATTGCTCTGTAAGCGAAATAACACTTTTCACTTTAGGGTTTCACGAGGATAGAATTTTATATTTGTTTAGCCCTGAGGGAGACAGAGCTGACTAGGAAAATATTCAGTAAACTTAACCTTCAAATACAGTTGACATTTGTCAGCATTTCCTTCCTCAGGAATGGTGATCTGAAGAGTTCATGCCTGTTTCACAACATCCTTCGTTTCTTGATTTAAACGATGTATCTATCTTTTTTTTTTTTTTTTTAATCATCTAGCCCGATAGAGCGGTACAGAGGACTCAACGAGAAGATGACTCCCAAAGCTATTCAAGAGTAAAGTTTCGTGATTCTGTACGAAAAATCAAGTCTAAACCCCAGGTGAGAAAATCTGTCTTTTGAAACCGTGCTTGTTTTAAATTATGCATACTTTAAATCGTGTTTTTTGTTGGTTCGTTTGTGTTTTGCAAAACCATCCAATGAGAGATGATGATATACATGAACCGAGTCTTATTGCTATGGAGTATGTAAGAAAAAAGTGTGAGAAATAATTCCTACTTTCAAAATTCTAGAATCCGGCTGTGGAGAGACCAGAGTGCTGCCTGGTTTGGGGCCGGGAAATGCATGGAAGGGCAGAAAATGTTAGTGATGAGACTATCTGTTCAGCACTGAAGTTATACCAGCTTTCATTATGAAAAAAAGTAGCGGGGATACTAACTCTAGAAGAAGCAAAAAACAAAAAAAAGACCTCATTTTTTTAAAAAAAAAATAAGGTTAACAAGTCTAGTATTGCTCATAATTAAATAAAACTACCTCAGCATTGACCTATAAAACAATAAATCACTTTTTGGCATTTTATTCATCCTCTCTGAAGCTTATATTGTTGTAAATACTGTTATAAATTATATATTTATGTGCTCGTGGGAGTGTAAATGACAGCTGGTTTATAAAAATGTAACTCATTAAAGATACTTAGTAAAGGCCGCCAACTGCCTCCTGCACTTGTTAAAGCTCATTACCAGTAATCTCGTACCTTCGACAAAGGTAATACGCTGACGATGCCTAGAATGCGCCTGGTACCATGAGCATCAAGCCGGCCGTCAGTGAACTGTGCAGAGCTCATTTCAGGTTTTAAAATCTGAAATCATATCGCTCACTACTTCTCTTTAGGTTCCACCCGGCTTCCCCTCTGCTGAAGAAGCCTATAACTTCTTTACTTTCAACTTTGATCCTGAACCAGAAGAATCAGAGGAAAAACCCAAAGCAAAAAATAAAGAAGGAACTAATCAAATGGAGGAGGAAGGAGAGGAAGAAGAGCCGCCTGTGCCAGAAAGAGTAAACAAACCGGTACTTAATATTATGGTGGTGACGATGACGACAATGATGACATCCTAGCCAGGAAGAGAGTGGCTGAGGACGACCCTGCCACCACCACACAGAGCAGCTCATCCATGTCTTAGTCAAAAACAATAGGAGTCCTAGGTTCTTTCCAGTAATTTCTGTAGCCTTTGATTTCATCCCATAATCTGGGTAGTAAGGGTCTTGACTAAACCTGTCCATCTTTCTCTTGCGGGGGGAAAAAAAAAAGAGACAGAACAATGCAGCTTGCAGATTTTTCTTACTAGACTCTACACAATGATTAGTGTTCGTTTCACCTGCAAAACGTTGACCTCTCTCAAGCAAGTGAAAACTAGCTTTCCCTCCCCACAACCTTACAGGAAAGCAGCTGTCTTGTGCCCTATACTACACCCGAGCTACAGCTCAGATTCCATAATTGTGGGTGGCATGTGTGAGATAAAAGAAAATACGCCAGTAAAAAAATGTGCAAAGGACTTGAATAGACACTTCTACAAAGAAATGACCAATGAGCACATGAAAAGATGCTTGATATTACTAATCATTAGAGAAAGGAAATCAAAACCACAAAGAAACTAAAAAACACAATAAACAAACGAACCACAATGAGAAACCACTTTAGACAAATTAGAATGGCTATTATTTAAAAAAAGAAAAAAGTAGTCTACGGCCCTGCCACCCTCAACAAGCCCGATCCCGTCTGATCTTGGAAGCTAAGCAGGGTCGGGCCTGGTTAGTACTTGGATGGGAGACCAACTAGGAAGACCAGGTGCTGTAGGGGTAAAAAATAAAAAAATAAGGGATTGTAAACTGACGAGGTCCTTGCAATCTGTGAGGTCAACCAAGGGTTGCCTCACCTAAAAATGAAAAGAAAGAAAGAAGGGAGGGAGGGAGGGAGGAAAGAAAAAAGAAAGTACTGGCAAGAATGTGGAGAAATTGGCCCCTTGTGGATTTGCCGATAGGAATGTAAAATGGTGTCACCGCTGTGAAAAACAGTATGGCGGTTCCTCAAAAACTAAAAAATCCACTTGGTAAAAATGAAAGGCCATGTCGTCGTATGCTTTCATTTAAAAAAAAAAAAAAAAAAGATAAACGAAAGGAAAAGGTAACTTTATTGCAGGGTAAGTGGTGAGTTTAATATCATTGGTTATTTTTCTGTGTAAACTCATTACCTTAGCATGATTTTTTTCATGTTATTTTTTAACTGAACGCAGGATGAGGAAGAGATGCTTAACGGCAAAGACGCCGAGGATTTCTTACTGGGCTTAGAGCGCGCGGCTGGAGAGTTCGTGGCAGTGAGACCCGCAGACTATGAAAGCATCCATGTCCGGCTGCAGAAGGAGAGAGAAATCCTGTTTGTACCCAGCAGGCTGACAGGTACTAGCTCCTCCTACCTTCCCGCTCAGCTCCATTCTCCTTCACATGAAACACAGCTGGTGTCGAAGGTGCCTGATTTTCGCCACTGATCCCAACTTCTAATCTGATTTAAAAATCTAGAAATACATGTAGACACACACAAAAAAATGTAGAACATAGAAAAACATCTATTCAACAAACACGAATCGATAGCAGAAGTCCGGGATGCTGTGGGAGCCCTGTGTCACACCGCCGACCGGTCCTGGGAGCTGAGAGGCGACTCAGGCTTTTCTGAGATTGAAAAGGAACAACTCTGTTTGATTCTCCGCTCACACCCAATACTTCTAGAACACTTCTGTAACTACGGTGTGTGTGTATTTATCTACACCAACCAATTCTCCACCAACTGGGTGTCCTACAATTTAAATCTGACACTATCTACCTGGGTCTAGAGTGGAACCCACAAATCAAGGGCTCAGTCCCCCAAGACTGCCCACTACTCCCTCTTCAGGTGTGATAATTTGATATAACAGTGCATAGAACTCAAGGAAACACTTAACTTGTATTTACTGGTTTATTATATAATAAAGGATACGATAGAGAATACAGGTAAAGGTGTGTGGGACGGGGCATGGATGTGCTCTCCAGCGCACCACCCTCCCGGCACCAGAAGCTCTCCCAACCCCTTCCTGTAGGATGTTTACCAAGGCTTTATCATGTAGACGTAATGGATCAAATCACTGCTAATGGTGATCAGTTACACCTCTCGTCCCTGGGTCCCTCTCCTCTCCCAGAGGTGGGAGTGAAGGGAGGAGGGGTTGCAGAAAGTCCCATCCCTCTACTCACCGAGCTGATCCCCTGGCCACCAGCCCCCATCCTGAGACCATTCAGGAGTCATCTCATTAGCATACAAAGGACGGACACATCACTTTGGAGATTGTAAGGTTTGAGGACTGTGGGCAGGAAGGCAGGCTGGCAGAGGTTCCTCGCCCTGGGGAAATGGGACCCTTTGATTAACTCCTAGTTATGGCCTCTTGCTTCCTTTCTGCCCTGGGTTTCTCTTTACTCTTCCCCCGCCCCACCCCCCACCCCCAAATTCCTTCTCCTACTGATGCACCTGGGGAGTCTCCCGGTTCTAGTGGTTCACACTTATAACAGCATGCAGCCTGAGTCCCGTGGGAGCCCCCATCAGGATGGGCAGGGGCGGTGCCTCACTTGGACTTGGGTTTCTTTCCACTTGTCATGTTCTGAGGTCCAGTTAAGTGCTGGGCCAAAGATAAATTATCATTTGGTTTTGATAGTTTGTTTTGAATCATATATGTTCAAAGCATTGGCATTTGTCGGCCATCCCACATTACCTTTTAAAGTACGTAGCTGGCAAAAGTGCCCAAAGTTCATAACTTTTCAATAATAAAATAATAATAATAGTAATAGTCGTGAATACATTCTGTTCGCTTACTCCAAGTACTTTTTTAAGCACTCGATATGTATCAAACTAACAGGGCCCTGCGCCGAGGCTGGAGAGGTATTGTTTTTCATGCGGGTTTTACAGATGAAAAAGTAGAATCTCAGAGAAGTTGGGAACTGGCCCAAGACCATGAAGCCAGTAAAGTGAGGGAGGCAGGTTTGTCATCTAGGTGGCGGGCTCCAGAGGCCACACGCTTGGCACAATGCGTCATGATGCCTGGGGGCACAGAGCAATGCACTTGCAGCAGCCTGGGCCAAGGAGATTTGTCACTTGCGTTTTTGCTCAGCGGACTCACTGCTAGGCCTCTCCCCAGAGCTACCTGGGTTGGAATGGAGGTTCGCCCTCTGGGCTGGCTCAGAGGGGGCCAGAAACTAGGAGTTGGCAGGGGCAGGGCAGAGGCTTAGGAGTCGGGACTGCTCTGTGGCTGCTCTGAGTGGGGATCAGAGCATGCTCCGGCTCCATCTTCTGGCTCTGGTCTTGCTCTGATCTGGGGGGAAGGGCCCCGTGAGGGGGTGACCCCACGGCCAAGCGAATTGGACTTGGAGAGCCACACAGACCCAGCTCTCCCTTCGTGAGGTCTGACCTTGAGCGACTTCCTCCATGCCTCACCTGAAGACAGGAAATGAAACTATGAGATGACTTTGGGTGTGCGTTTTTATTCTGAGCATTGAGGACGTCGTGTGAGTGAAGTGCTGTGTCATGACTGGCACATGGCAGGGGATAAAAAAAGCAACAAACCAATGTCCTCTGTTCCTGTTGTTCATGTTACCGTTTAGAGAACGGTTTCCAAATTAGTGTGTTCGCCCCAAGGACAGAGGAAGAAAACATCGAGACTTCTACTTACACTTATTTTTCATCGAATTTAGTTAAAATTTAATTTAATTAAATCCTAATTTAACTTTGTCTGTGCAATAGTGCCTACATACCGAAGAAACATCCAGATATTGGGCGAGTGCCCAAAAATGTTTTAATGAAAAATTTGGAACACCGCTGGATTAGTGGTAGACCGATGTCTAGATACATGAATGGAGGGGGTGGGGAAGAGAAGAATCAGTAAAACAATAGTGTGCCCACTTTTTTAAGGACTCAGAGGCAGCTTTTCCAGGGAACGCTGGCATTAGTTGATTTTCGTGGGTGGGTTTGGGATGCAGAGTGTCCAACTGGCCACACGCAGGAAAATCGGATTCAGGGATTTGGCATGGTTTAGAATGAGGTAATTATGAAACAGAAATGAGTCTCCATCCTTAATCGTCAATTCTCAAATTACACCCCAGCTCCCAGAGGTCAGCATCTGCCGGCTTCTCGGCTTCTCTCATTTCCCCTCACGCCCCTCGGCCACAGCAGCGGGGCCCAGCCAGTCTTTTTAGAATCAAACATCTGCGCAGGTCCCTCCCCAGGGAGGAGCCCGCAGCGACCCAACCCCGCCTGGAACACACTCCAGCTCCTCCATGACCGGCTTTCCCTCCTGCCCACCAACAGCCGCCTGCCCCTGCTCACTATACCCAGGCATGCTGGAAGTTTCTCTGTTCTCAAACACCCCCTCCTTAGTACACGCTATTCCCTTGTGCAAATAGGCCTGCTGTCTCGCCACCATACCTTCCTCCTCGGCCTTCAGGCGTCAGTGCAAATGCATGGCCTCGAGGAAAGGCTTCCTTCCCGGCTCCATCCCAAGTGTGTCCCCTCTCGGCCCTCCGTCACCACCCCTGTGTATTTCTTTCAGTGCATTTATGACTCTTTGACACGATCTTCAGCCCTTAGCTTACCGCTGCTCCCTGTCACTCCCGCTGACCCCTCAGTGTCTCCCCAGTGCCTGGCACAGGGAGGCCCCTGGTGAAGATTCGTTCTGTGAATGATTCAAAGGGTGAGGGGCCAATTGAGGTAATGGTTAGCTTTGGTCAAACACACTTTTTAATTTACAAAGCATATTCCCACACTTTACCTCTCCAAATCCTTCCACGAACCCAGTGAAATATAGATATCGTCATTCCTTCCGTGCAGGAGAGTTCAAAGGAGTGCCTGCCCCAAACTGAGTCCCCTAAGAAGCAGTCATGCATGTCATGCTCCTCACAGTCCACCACGCTGGCCACTTAGGTATTGAATTATTTCATCATTCTACAACGCGATGTTGCAAGGAAACACATTCACCTGAGTTCTGCTTCTCGACGTTCATTTGGAAAGTGTGCATTTCCAAGAACAGAAATGAAATCTCGGGTGATTGCTTTAATTCACCAAACCGCAGTCTGAAACGTTGGGTTGGCGCTAACGTCACTGTGTTTCTTTATGAACTATCTAGTGCCTACGTGTAAGAAGCTTCCTGAGAACGTGCAGCCCAGGTTCCTGGAGGACGAAGGCCTCTACATCGGAACACGCCCGGAGGTGCCACGCACGGCTCAGAACATTGTGGAGAACAGACTGCTGGAGCAGGAGCCTGTAAGCACGGTCCTGCTCCAAGTGTGGCCCCCGGTGACACAGAGAGGCTCTCTCCTGATGGAGCGGTCACTGCAGCATTGAACCCATTTCCTCTTGAGGGTGTCTACACACAGTGGTCCCTTTTTTTTTTTAAATTTGTCTCTCAGTGTACTTAGTGACCCTCAGACAGCACAATCTCTCCACTGCTCAAAACCCATCTTCTGCTGGCCGGATCCAGGCTTCTGCCAAATCAGATATTGGCAACCTTTTCCCAATTGACAGGATGTTCTCAATTTATTTTATGTTTCTTTTTCTCCCTTACATTTTTAATGAATAGAAAATACATTTTTTTGTAAGCATTCATTTGAGCTTTTACTTAAGCTTTTTTGTTTGTTTTTGGAGGGGAGAACTATATCTTAAATTAATTGTGGGGAGCAATTGTGAAGACTCAATTTCTAATGGAAACAGATTTGAGAACATCTTTTGGAAAAGGCAGAAGGTGCATGAGATGTGTATGTTGACACAGAATTTTCCTGCAGTGGTTGTTTATTTTGTAAACCATTTTCTGTCCCATTAGAAGAAAATGTTGTCCTTCCCTCTGCTTGTTCCCCAGGGGAGAAAATGGTTTGGAGATGATGGCAGAATCCTAGCACTGCCCAACCCCATCAAACCATTTCCATCAAGGCCCCCAGTGTTGACACAGGAGCAAGACGTTAAGGCGGAACTTGAAACGCTGTATAAAAAGGTAAAACTCCCCTCCGCATTTTTACTGCAGGAATTTGCTTGTCAGTGCTTTGCTTCTTGAATAGCTTGGAGGGCTGCATCTGTAACATTCTACTTTGATTTTACTTTTATAATTCACTATCTTACACATAAAGAACAAACAGCAGGCATATTTATAAGAGTGATTTTTCTGTGCTCACCTAATCCCTTCTTGACCCTAGGAGTGAGTTTCCCAGGTGGGAATAGCTAAGTCGGCATCTTCATTTGCATATTCGGGTCAGTCGTCCATATTTTCCTCCTTTGCTTTCTGTCATCTTACGTATGCTGCGGGATTACTTCCCACTCATTGCAATACCTAGAGGTTTTCTATCCTCGCAAATCCTTTTGATTGTATTTCTCTAAGCTCTGGTACCGCACTGCCTGCTTGAGTCCTGGCTGGACCCCTCCTTGGGAGAACTTGGCCCTGGATCTCTCTTTGCTGCAATTTCTTCATCTGTACAGTGGGCATAATGATAGCTCTACCTCTGGCATCGTTGCGCAGATGGGTTGAGATAATACGCGTGAGCACTTGGAACAGCTCCGTAAGGGCTGGCTGTGCTAAACAGACCGAGTTCATGTTTAACTATATTGCTCTTGCTTTCCTGAAGTGCTAAGCAAGGATCGGCTCCTATGGAAACTCATGTAATTATAAATTTGTAACATTTCAATACTGATCAAGGGGATAGGATGATCATTCTGTAAAGTGGGTGATGAACAGAGAAAAACCGGGCGTAAGTCAGAAAATCTGAGCTGGGTCGGATGTTCCACTGACTAGTTTGTGGCCTTGGGCGGATCCCTGTCCCTCTCCGGACCTGTTTCCTTAATTGAAAAATAGGAATAATAATAATCTTCTCTGCCTCCCAGGATCATTGTGAGTACTGAGACAATGTTCGTGTATGCCCTTTTCAAAATTATGAATTCGTATAAAATATTGCTATTACAGACAAGTATTAACAAGTGGCCACTTTGGGCAGAAATGTGTTCCTGGGAGTAGATTTACAAAACAAGCATAAACCTAAGTCCCAGTCCATGAGAGATTTATCATCTATTTGCTTATATGACATAATTAATTAGTGATCGAGGCAGCAGCAATTTGTGAACATATCTAATGATCCATCAGTCTGTCTCTTCATCTGTCCATCCATGTCGGCATAGCACACAGATATAATGAAGCACTAAGTTATAGGTTAAAATTAGGAAATAGGAGAGTAATTACTATGGATATTGAGGGAGTCTATCTTCTCTGTCTCCTTAAGAAGTGCTGAACTAATTGGGGAATGCGCAGAAGTCAGAGATGGATGCAGGCATCATCGGTTGCACTAAGGGTAAAACTAGACAATAGAATTCCACTTGGAACCGGGACCAAATCTGGGGAAAGGAGAGGCAAAGCACAGGTGACCGAGGTAACATTCCAAGTAATGAGACCCACGCTACCACCTTGCTTACTCATACCGGGAAGGGTTCAAGACGGAACCTGACGGGCTCGCCCTGAGTGATCTCATAACCGCACCGTGAAAGGGACGTCAAGGCAAGAGCCAGCAGCAGCCGAGCAATGGGAGAGGACTCCTCCGCTAAGTCTGGGGAATGATGTTTGCTGGTACGTGGCTTTGTGAGGCAGGAATTTTTAAATTAATCCAGGTAGTCTGGGTGATCAGAAGACACATAGGTACCACAGGCAGATTAAAACTTCTCAAACGAATGTGGGTTCTAGCGGAATACTTGTACTCGAATGAAAGAGAAAAGAAATGGGCTTTCATCGTCGCAGTCGACATCGTAAGGACGTCAGTGACGATGAGAACCGAGGCTTTCGTTAGGTACCAAATATCAGTGGAATATCGTCCACGTAGAGGTGGTCTTTCTGCCCTGTAAATCCAAATGCAGATTCAGTTCAGACTCACAGTCAGTCCATTCTTATTCAAGCCTACCATATTTGGTAACGCATCCTGCTTTTACGAGGGCATTTTTTAAAAATAGAAAGTCTATAGGTCTCTTCAAAGACAGACCGAATGTTGTTTTATAGGAGAAAACTTGTAATTTGATTAAAATAAATGAAGGATACTCTCTCTCTCAGAGTCCTGCAAGAAATCATAAGTCTTAATATACACTAATAGTCTACTAATCTTGGGAAGAATTATGAAATTAAATGGCTAAAAAGAAATAAACTCATATATATTCTTACCTGTGAATTCCAGTACAAATCAAGCAACACATCATGATAAATTTACTGGTAAATGAAGGCTCATATGTATATGCTTTTCTGTAAATGCAAATACTTGTACTGATTTGATAACTAATAGTAACTGTAAAGCAGATCACACTATATGACAAATGTGAATACATTTCTGTACACATAGGCTTGTGTACACAGACGCACATATACCACACATACACAAGCTGGGCCTCCCTTTTCTGTTCTTAATCTGATAGGGTAGAATATTAGAATCTTAGAATCGTAGGATTCTAACTCTGGAGGCCCCTCTTCCGGCTCTCAAGCCTTCCCATGCATATCCAGGCCTGTCCTTCCCACCCCACATTATAAAGATCAGATCCTGGTCCTCCCTCCACCCTCTAAATTGAAGGCAGGCCCCACTAATGGAAGACATCCATTCATCTTTGTGGAGTAAATGAGGTGATGTATGTGAAGGGCTGTCTATAATGCCTAGTCAGCCACAAAATGCTAACTGAATCTTTTTCATCAGCCTCCCCTTTCTGCAGAGGTGGACATAGAGGCACCCAGAAGTGTAGTAACCAGCCCAGAGTCCCAGAGCAAGTTAGAGCCAGAGCTAGAATCCAAGGCTTCTGGCCCTGAATCAGCATCTCACATGATGCCATGAAGAAGAGTTAAATGAAGATGTTACATACAGTCTCAAGGATGGAAGCTTCGATTCTGACTAGGATTTTTACAACCCCCATTTAACCTCATAACTTGTAAACAATACACCTGTGTTACATCATCTTACATTATCATTTTCCAAATAACATAAATAGCTCCCAAAAGCCCCCCTGCCTGTGCAAAAAAAGGAGGCTCGAGGGATGTGTCTCAAATCCCACATCCCGATCATAGGCAGTGTCTACAAGGGAGGTGAAGACACGAAGCCCAAAAGTCTCCTCTCCACCTTGGAGCTGCTCACACTCGAAAACTAGATTCTCGCAAAAGCGGCCGTGGGAGATGGAGACCGTCTTGAAGACCGTGGAATAAAAGCAGAGATAGGTGTATCTGACACGCCGCACACCGTGGGGTCCAGGAAGTCCCCGTGGACATTCCCATGCCGATTTCCCACACAGTCAGCGGCTCCACTGCCCTCTTCCCGTTACTTTGCTCGTGGAGAATATACCTATGATCCAGAGAGTGATCGGTTTGGACTGGAATCTGTGCTCCTCTCATGAAAAGAATTTCAAGGTCATCAGCGATAAAACCCAAGATTTCAAGAAACAGGACGGTCTGCATGACAAAGATTAGGACGATGACTTGGGAGACAGAAAATGTAAAAGACCTCGGAAGCAAGATTGAAATGGTTTCTCTCCTCACTCCTGGTCTTTCATTTTACGTTTCGAGTATTCAGAAAAGAGCAGGCCCTGAAAACCTCCAGGACATTGGGAATGGAGCGTGGTTCTCCTGGCTTGCCCAGGGTAGGACATACCTTGTGTCTGACAGTCTTCCCACTGCTCATTAGATCAGTCTTAACTGTTTTCCCCCCACGCTCTGCTCTCTCTGGCAGGCAGTCAGATATGTGCACAGAAGTCAACACATGATTGGATCTGGAGACTCCCCTGGAAATTTCCAACTGGACATTGACATTTCAGGGTTAATCTTCACTCATCATCCCTGTTTTAGCCGAGAGCATGTTTTGGCAGCCAAGCTGGCCCAGCTGTATGACCAGTATCTTGCAAGGTGCCAGAGAAGCAAGGCGAAGTTTCTTACTGATAAGGTACACTCTACCACGCTCACTGTTGGCGGGGCTGGTTCTTCTGATGAGTCCGAACAACAAAGTGCCTCCAGTGGCAAATGCTTATGCTCTTCTTTCTCATGGTCCCTCTGTCTGGGATGTGCGTGATATGGTGTCCTGCCTAGAGGCAAAAGGAAAGATATGGCGACATCCTTTAACATGTGCAAATTCAGTGGCACATACTTGGCTTCAATAGGAAGATTTGTGCATAGAGCACAAGTGACCTCACCACCAGGAGTAGGGATCAGATGGAAGATTCGTGGCTGTGTCTTGCTTACGTGAGCTCAGATGCTGAGACATTCATGGCTTGAGAACGTCTCTGTCCTTAGAGACATCCCATTTTTATATGTAATTTCTCATATCATGGTCCCTAAACACAAGTCAGTTGTTTCAACTGATGCTCAAAGAAATGGCTTTTTGATTGGGATTTCCTTCCAGTGTAATAACTGGCCTGTGGGATTTTCACAGGTAATTTTGACAATAGGCAATTTTAGTCTTATGCCCTAACTATAAAGCTTACTGCTCAGATAAGAGATACGTCCACGATATCTCTTTTTATGAGCCTATAATTTTATGATCTCTTCACATTACGAGAATATCATTGTATGTCCAAGACTCAGAAAGATCCACTTCTAGCCTTGAGAGAAAACTTGTTTCTGAGACACACACACTTAAAAGCAACATTTCTCATCAGTTGCTTGATTATCAGGATCACAAAACAAGGATGAACATACACTGTTCTTTAGCGTCACCCCCCACCCCGCCATTTTTTTTTTTTTTTTTAAGAATAGAAGAAGTAGCTCTCTGTCAAAGCTCATTTTGGTGAAAGCCTGGACATGGCTGGATGCTTGAACGTCTCTTCACAGTTTGCTGGTATCTTTTGCCCTAGAGAAGCGGGTGGGTCCAGGCATGTAACTTGCAGTAGGAAGTCGAGTATCTAACTCAAAACTTGTATCCATATTTTTTTAAGCTCCAAGCTCTAAGAAATGCTGTTCAGACAGGTCTCGATCCAGCAAAAACTCATAAATCTGTTGATATAACCCCCAAAGCCATCAAAGAGTATAAATCTGAAATTCGGTAAGTTTGTAATTGTAACTTCTTTTTTTTTTTTCCCTGTTTGATGTCTACTTGTAGAGTTGTTTTTTTTTTTTTTTTCAGAATTTTTCTGAATGTACTGAATACATGTGAAACTTAGCCACGTGAAATAATGAGATGTATCTGTCACATTAACACCAAATTGGAAGTCCCCTATGAAAGAAAGAAGGTGTGAGATGCTGTAACTCACACACTGCTGGTATAAACAAATATTCCCACCACTTTAGGGAGCAGCCTAAACACCATAGACAAGCATAGTGTTGTTTTGTAATGCCTGTCAGCTAGGGACCCAGCACTTCAACTTCAGGTGTGTGTACTCTAAGGAGCCGCTCGCACCTGGAGGCATGTGTGAGGATTCCACAGCATCATTTAAAAAATTGGAAACTAGAAATAACCCCATACCAATGAACACAGCTGCCAGAGTCTTACACTGAATGTCTATACCACAGTTATAATGACTGAATTAGATCTGCCTATATCCATATAGACGAAACAATGTTGAAATCCAGGCGTAAGAAGATACTTGCTGTGTGATACAGTTTACTAAACCTAAAGAACACCTGAAACAGTACTCATTTGTCTTAGGTTCACAGATGTTGGTACATATGGACAGAAAAGACACATGCCAGCTGGTAAATGATAGAACCAGGATTTAAACTCGGAGGGCAGGGTGGGGGGGGCGAAGAGTCTGGTTCTAAAAGCTTTACCCTTAACCACAGTGCTTCACGGCCACTCGCGAAGAATGCTTCTTATTCTAGTTCACCGCTTTGTTGATTTTGCAAGGTCTTCAGAGAGTCCTGAATCTTGGCAACCCAACCACTAACTGGCTGTCATCTTCTGCCATCTTCCTTTTCCACAGCCAGCAGTTGAATGATTAGAAAGCTAGCCTTCTGTGCTTCTCTGTACCATCTCCATAGACTAAGTCGTCACAAGTACAACCTGCAGACTCGGGCCTTCCTTCTGGAAGTTCATGAGGTGCTCACTCATGAAACACTGCCTCTGTGGCAGTGTTCCTAAGACACTCTCTTAGGCAAATCTCACATTGTATGTTATAGTCATTTATCCATGTGTCTATCTCCTGAGCTAAACTTTCTGAGGACAGAGACACCTTCTATCTCTTAGATTCTTCTGAATCCTGCTAGTACTTGCTCAAGAAAAAAGTTTAATTAATTACATAAATAGAGTACGTTTGGGTTCTGGATTTGGCTATCATTCATAGAGAGGACTTAAAGTAAGGCATTAAATAAGTGCTGAACACTTTAAATAATGGAGCTAAAAATGAAAGCATTTTCCAGGGATGCTTCTTCACGTCAAGCTAAAAATATGGTTAATCTAGTTAGCTCTGAAAACTCACCAAGGCATGAAGAAACATCACTCTGTCTCCTAAAGGTATAACCTGTGATTTGTGTTAGCACAGACATATATCTATGCTATATATAGCACGAATATATCTGTTATAAACTGAGATAGCAACATACTCCCCTATGTTTACAATAATTTAATTCATGAGAACTGCAGTTAATGGGCCCTTTATTTTCATAGCTTCGAGGGTGGCTATTATTTAAGGGTGCATAGAATTAATAAGAATTTTAAAAGGCGATATAATTTAATTGAAGTCAGATTCAGCTAGAGGAAACAAAATCAAATAACCTCTCAAAACAGGTTGGCATCTTATTGTCTTCAAATTTACATTCATGTTTTTGGTTTTCTATGATCTCTTCACATTACGAGAATATCATTGTATGTCCAAGACTCAGAAAGATCCACTTCTAGCCTTGAGAGAAAACTTCAAATTTACATTCATGTTTTTAGTTTTCCAGTACTTAAGAAATATTGTAGCTGTTAAATTAAATATACACTCACTATAGAATTATTAGGGTTTTTTTTTTTAAATTTGCGAACACACCTAAATAACTTTTTAATGTAAATGCATGTATATTATCTTGTAGAGAAACCAGAAAACTGCGTGACGCTGAACAAGAAAAAGATCGAGCATTGCTCAAGACTATCATAAAAGTCTGGAAAGAAATGAAGTCTCTTCGAGAGTTCCAGAGGTTCACAAACACACCCTTGAAACTGGTTTTGAGAAAGTAGGCTGTTTTCGAAAATTGTATGAAACATAGATACAGTTTTAAAAATATTTATTTAAAAAATGCTTACAAATGAGTAACCAGGTAACCACGTCCGAGGTTGAGAAATAGGAATCACCAGTATCTGGCAGCCCCCTCCATTTCAGAGATAACCATTTTCTGGACTTTTATGATCGGTGTTCCCTTGGTTTTATTTATAGGTTTGCCACCTATGTGTGATCCCTAAGAACATACAGTTTAATATCGCTTGCATTTGACTTTTCTGTAAATGAAAGAATATTGTGTGTATTCTTCAGCGAATACACACTTTCTTCTTTTCTTTAATACTATGTGAGATTCATCTACTTTGTGACACAGAGCTATAGTTTATTTTTCCTTGCTTTATAATTCATTATATGGATATTACAAAATTTGTCCATTTTACTGTTGATGGACATTTGAGTCGATTCCATTTTTCAACTGTGATAGAGAGTACCTGTGTACATGTCTTTTAGAAAGATATCTGGAAGTAAAAATGTCAAGTCTTAGGGGATATGCTTCTCCAAATATTTACATGCTGATTCCAAACATTTTTTCCCCAGCTGTTGAGCTGATTTATGCTTTCGCCAGTGTGCCCATAGGTCTATATCGCCCATATCATCTCTATCACCTGGTACTGTCAAACACAGATGTGCCAAACCGATGACATTTTTTAATTTATATTTATCCTGTACGGATTGGCCATCTTGATTTCTTCTTTTATGATGTGTCTGTTCAAGGCTTTTGTCAAGTTTTGAACTGGATGGTTTGTTTTTTATCTTTTTCGTAAGTTGTAGGAGTTCAGCATACATCCTATTCGCAAGACCTTGTGGATGACGCATGCTGTAGACATACTCTCTACTCCGAACTTCTCCGTTTACTGTCTTATTGCTGCTTTTTGGCCAATAGACGTTCTTAATTTTAAAGAGATAGTAGATATTAGTCTTTTATGATCGGTGCTTTTTGCATCTGCTTAAGAAATCCTCTACCTCCCTCCACCCCTCAAGTCATGTGCACAGCCTAACGGTACTGTTTCTTATGGTCTTCATGGTTTTATCTTTCACATTCATCTTTAATCCATCTGATCTGGGCGTGGTGTGGAGAAAGCGCTTTGACAGCATTTCTGCTAATTCAGCCTAATTCACCAGACTGTGATACGTGAGTGAGCTCGCAGTCACCACGGCAAAGCTGTGCTCTGTGCATTAATTCAAGAGTGCCTTTGTTGATTTTGGTCCCTTCCTGAAAGCTTCTTCTGCATAAGTGTCGTGCCCGTACACCTACATGAAAAGTGACAAATGTGGGCAATTATCTGACACTTTGCTTTGAAAACAGCCATGTTTTGGCCAAAGATAACTGCAAATTGTGATTGGGGCAGGCGGGGAGGGGAGGGATGTAGTCATCATAAGACTGAGAAACATTATACAGTTTTGTTCTGCACAGTTACAAGACTGTGCTCTATGAGGGCTGGGGCCTTGTCGCCATGTCAGCGCACAGACCTGACATCTGGTCCCTGACAGAGCACCTGCCACTTAGTATCTGCTCAGTTAACATTAGTAATAAAAGGCAAGTTCAAATTATCTCTCACACAGAAACCGTGGGTATCTCCCAGAAATTCCAGGGCTTCCGTTTCTAAATTCCATCTCCCAGGCTACTCCTCCCAGCCGAAGCAGAACATAAATATTTACCAGATCGTTTTCTCCTTCCTTCCTTCCTCAGGTTGAGGATAAACCAAGCTTTATAGTAGATTTACCCTTAAGGTCACCCTAAGTTGCAAACTTCTCTTGCGCTAATTAAGCACAATTTAGTGGTGATACTTAACGCCCTTAAATTCTTTTTGAGTGACCTTTTTTCACTTCCTTGGTTCATCTAGCCACCGTGTAATACACCATAATTTTTTTCCCGAAAAAGTATCCAAATTCTAACCAGTTTATTTATAAATAATTTATTTACAAATAAATGATCAATAACAAGGGAAAAGCAAATGTTCTCTATATATCAGTAATGGAACTAAATTTTTTGAGCCAAATTTCCCCAATGTTTATAAATGGCAGGTGCCACTGTACTGCCAAAGTGATTTCTTTGGCAGAATCCTATACATCCGTACGGGTCTGTGCCTTGAAAGACTGTTAATTGCTAAACCAACAGGCCACACTGTGTACACAGCAAACATCTGTCAGCTCTAGGCGCTTGACCAAGTTTATCTAAAAGGGACAAAGCACCGTGAGAGGCCAGACCGGCATTGACCTGGTCTGACCTTGTTAGGAGATAAGCGCAGGCGATGGCTTCATCGTTGCTTAGTGCTAAGTCGCTTGGGCTCATATTTCAGCCCCTCCACTCACCACTTAACCTCTCTGCGCCTCAGTCTCTCGGCGTATAGAATGCGGATGATAACAGACTCTGCCTCACGGGTCTGTGCGCTGACATGGGCAGCGTTGAGAAGAGGCCTGCCACAAAGCAAGCCTGATCCAGGCATTTGCTGTTATTCTTACTCTATTACTTAATTTCAAGAAATAATCAAGCTACCGTAAATTATTTTTAAGAGAAAAAGTGGACCAGAAAGCAGACAAGGAAGCCTATGAAGCAGAAATTCAAGCTGAAATAAGTGAATTGTTGGAAGAACGTTCAGAAGAGTTCGAACGAGAGATGGCATCGTACAGAGCTGCGTATCAGCAGTGGAGAGCCTGGAAGAAGGGCCACGTGTGTACACAGTCCCCGACCTTGAACAGGGCTGACCGTGGGGCGGGGAGCGGTCTGGGAGGGTACTCCTTGAGATGGAAGGAGGGAAACTGAGCAAGCCGACTGGCGTCCCCTTCTGCCCCTCCTCTGTCTCCCTCCCTGCCCCCTCGCTAGGGGACAAAAGAACGAATGAATGAAATAGCTAATGCACTTGTTTAAAAGACCACCGAGCTAGCCGATCCCAGAGCGGCTTTTTCCATAGGTGGTTCTCTGGTATCAGTCTGTGGCCATTCGAGTGAACCAACGAGTAATAACATAGCAATCACTCACGTATGTGTCAAACATTTACAACACATTAACCCACTGAATGTAGGGCATTGATGCTTCCGGATGTCCCTCAGAAAACCACGTGACTTGTCCACATGACCCTGCAAAATTGAGTCTAAGGGCAATAAGTAACAGATCAGGGTGACCTGCAATGCCAGTTGTGCTCACAGCCTTTACTTTACTTTAAGATATGTCCTTGACCCTTTAGAACTGATATTAATGATCACATGATTAGCTAACATTTTTTAAGCCCTTTCGAGGGGCCAGGCACCGTGATAAGTGCTTTACAGGCATTACCCCATTTCAATAGCCCTGGAAGGTGTTTCCTATGATCGTCCCCATTTTGTAGATGAGAAAACTGAGGCAGGGAGAGGTCAGGTGGCTTAGTGATCTGCCTGAGCACATACAGCTGGTTGAGGTGGAGCTGGGTTTGCACTCAAGTGTATCTGATTCAGAAAACTATGCTCTTATATGAAATTTCAAAGTTCCTGTTTCACCTAAGGTCACCTCTGACCCAACAGAAGGCCAGGAAGAAGAAAAAGAAACAAGCAGTCGAAGAGCATCTGGATGAGGAGATGGAGGAGCCGTATCCCCGGGAGGAGCCTGTGAAGCCGGTCCCCCCGGAGCCCATCGACCCGGCAGCGATGGAGCAGCAGGTGCGGGAGAGAGCAGCCCAGGGCAGGAGGCCCGGGGAGCCCACGCTGGTCCCGGAGCTGAGCCTGGCGGGGAGCGTGACGCCCAACGACCAGTGTCCCAGGTGAGCGGACCCTTGGACCGTAAATGAGATTGGCGTGTGACACGTGCGCATGCGCACACATATTCGCCCACTGTGTGGACTATACATCTCGACATGGTATGGTCAGGAAAGTCATTAACTCTCTGTGAGTATATATTAGGTTGAACCATGTGAAATTGCAGAAATTTGTCCATGTTTTGGTCATTTCATATGGTTCACCTACCTAATGCATCCCCACTGCCCGCCCCCTCCAGGAGCCTCCCGCATGAGGCTGCCTGTAGGAGGCACCCTTTACCGAGAATTGTGGGTATTGAAGTCGGGCCGTCTGAAGCCTACCCTCCAGATTGGATAGAAATACGTTTCTAGTCATTCTCATGTGACGCCTAACAGAGAAACAATCCAAAGCTTCACTTTATGTATATAAATCTATACATACAGGAAATTCATAAACACACATGTATATATTCATCCTTTTTAAAGTTATTATTTAATTAAACATTTTTAAAATTTCCTACTTACTTTTTTCCTACACCTTACAGAGATGGTTCTCAAAGTGTAGCCCAAGGACCAGCAGCATCAGCATCAGCATCACTGGAGAACTTGTTAGAAACGGGAATTCTCAAGTCCTACCTGAGACTCACTGAATCAGAAACTCTGAGTCAGGGCCCAGAAAACTGTGTTTTCACAAGGTTTCCAGGTGTTTGTGAGACATGTTATAGCAGACCATAATCTAACAAAGGGAATCTATTAAAATAATTGATAACGCCAGTCCAGGCTTAATTTTCCGGTAAACAGAGACCTGTCATGAACACAAAGAATATCTTAGACTGGAATCATTAATATTCCACCGTAGAAAGTGAGAATTCAATCAAGGCAGTCATCTTCAGAGGTAGTAGGCTAGGATGCCATTATTAGACTTCCTACAAACTCCTTTGTTTCAAACTCTTGTTTATGTATTAATGTTATTTTTAAGTAGCTTCTTAGGCATTTTTGTGTAGCCTCTCAACTTCATAGCGTTCACACATAAATAAACTATCCCCCAACACTAAATTAGCTATTTTCAAACCACAGCATACCATATAATTTCATAATGAACATTGAAAATATATGATTACACAGCATGTTTTTTCCATTTCTATTGATACATAATTGACATATGTCACTGTATAAATTAAAGGGGAACAGCATGATGGTTTGATTTACATATATTGTGAAGTGATCACCACAATAGATACCGCTAACATCCATCGCCTCATAAAGATACCATAAAAAGAAAAGAAAAAAAAATGATTCCCTTTGTTATGAGACCTATCAGGACTGACTCTTAACTCTCCCAGATGTATCACAGAGCAGTACACAGCACATTTTTTAAAGGGAAAATTGGAGCTTGATTTGACAGTCTTTTATGGTGAGTCCCATTTCGACCAAGAATGCACAACTCCATCATACATTTCTGAGTTTTCACTGGGACTTGGGACAATAACCCAAATTACCCCAAGCCAGTGATCATAATTGACCCACTTCATTAGGTCATCAGGTAAGGCGGGGCCATACAGAAGAAGGGATGTTTTAGGTCTGTTTGTAGCATGAGGTTACTGGGAATAAACTTTAAAACGACTCTGAGTCTTTGGATGTCTCGGATACTTCCTGAAATTTGGTGTTAAATGCCCTTTGTAGAACAAAAATGTTCAAGTCATTTGAGCAATTTCATGTCTGGGACTAGCCTTTATTAAAGATACATAAAAAGTGAAAACTACCACCCAGTTTCATGGGTACGGAATTTCTATCTGAGATGACGGACACCTTCTGGAGGATACTGGTGATGGTTACACAACATCGTGAATGTACTTAATGCCACTGAATTCACTTAAAAATAGTTAAAATAATAAGTGGTATTCGTGTATATATCATCGTAATATCAAGAAAAAAAACCACCACCCAAAAAGAGTGCGTTTTGAAATTTTTTATGCTCTAACCTCTCCCTTTCCTTGACAAGCTTGAGTTGCTATTGACTTAACCAATAACTGGCATTTTGGGTGGACATCTGCAAATATCCGCAACAAAATTAAAGGCTACTCTTGGAGGTTTAAATCAGTACTCTATCCCTTATGGTTTGAATTCACTCCATTTAACAAGTAATATATTTCTGTTTACTTAAAACTTTGAGATATAAATGTAAGGCTTGTTTGAAAAAAATTAAGGAGACCATAGGACAGCCACGCCTGGACCACAGTCCTTAAATCTCCTGAGACCTCTTCAGTGCCTCTTATTCCATATCACAGTATTTTATTATATCACGCTCTGAAAGACCTAGAGTTATTTTGGTTCAATGAGGGCTAAGGTGACTGGCAGCGTCACCTGCAGCGTATCTTGTTCTGGTCAGTGACCATTTATCAAACACTACACTTATCTGTAGTCAGTTAATACTAATCCCACCTGCCTATGGGCTCACTTTGCAGGGCGGAGGTCTTGCGAAGAGAAGATGTCAAGAAGCGCTCGGTGTATTTAAAGGTGATCTTCAATGAAAAGGAGGTGTCCAGGACCAACAGTCGGCCACTCGGAGCAGACTTCCGGGTTCACTTTGGACAGATTTTCAATTTGCAGATAGTCAACTGGCCAGAGAGTTTAACACTGCAGGTACTCATTTTAATTATCATCACTGTCCCAAGGGTATTTTGGTCGTCACAGGTGCGAGATGGTTTGAAATCATCCATGGGCTATGCCAGTGTCCTCATAGAGTCCCGAGGGGAACAGGAGGTTGTGCCTGTTTGTAAGGTCTTGGCAGAAGGAGATCTGACACCTGAACTCGCCGTCTGAAAATGCTAACAGATTAACTGGCCAACGGCTCAAGGGTGTGCCTCAAGAAGGGATGGGGACCGAGGGAGGGTGGAGGGTAGGGGGGACCTCTGGCTCATTCATCATAGAAGTAAGTATCTCAATATCAGCCTCTACCAGGCCCCTAGCATAATGTACCAGAGAAGTCAATGGTGCCATAATCACAGGTGGTTATAATGGGGGTTGGGGGTGGTTACAGGTGCTAGGATCCCTCCCCCAAAATAAATCTCCCACTAGCCTAAATCCCACCATCAGAGATATATTTATTTGGGTCGGTTTTAGTTTCCCAGGGCTGCCATAACTGAGCAACACAAACTTGGTGGCTCAAAACAACAGACATTCATTCTCTCACAGTTCTGGAGGCTGAAAGTCTGAAACCCAGGTGTCAGCAGGGCCGTGCTCCCTCCAAAAGCTCTAGAGAATTCTTCCGGCCTCTTCCAGCTTCTGGTGGCTCTCGGAACTCCTTGGTTTCCGGTAGCATCACCCCGGTCTCTGCCTCCATCCTCATCTCATGTGACCTCCTCTGTGTCCCTGTGTGTCCCTTTTGGCTCTTACAAGGACACTCTCACTTTCGGCTCTCACAGAGACACTCTTGTTGTGCTTCGGGCACACCCTAATCTACTACAGGCTTATCTTGAACCTTAACTAATCACATCTGCGAAGACGCCGTTTCCAAATTAGTTCGCATTCTGTGGGTCCAGGTGGATGGCAGTCTTTAGCGGACACTATTCAACCCACCACAGAGTCTTCGATTCGCTGCTTTTATGGTGAATCCTCCCTTACGATACTAACAGAGTTCTCTTTTGTGATACTAACGGGCTTGTTAACTAGGGCTGCAAGCACGTGACACACATACCTTTGGTCGCCACCCACACAGAATCACTAATCCTCACCCGCCACTTAAGCAGAAATTTTTCGTCCCCATCCCCCATCCTTACCATAAATGACTACTTGATCATATCCTTTTTTGCCCCACGGAGCCTGGAGATAACTTCAGAATCCTTCTCATACAGTGCTCTAGATAGCCACTGCCTGCAGACTGTCATTAAGTCTGGCGGTACTACTGCCGCTGTATAATTATTAAAATCTTTAAATATTTCTGTACAGAATGGTAAATAGCTGCTGACCCCAATCCCCATGAAGGCTACCCTGGCTACCTATACCCCACTTCCAAGACCCTGGGCTTTCCTACAGTGGACCAATTAAAGCCTCGTCTGACAAGGCCGACGCCCCAGGACCCTGTTCTCTTGACGTCTCTTCTGATTGCTTAGCTCTTGGCCACGAGTGTTGTTTAATATTTTTAATATGGCCTGGACTTCGATAGTTAAAAGCCTTCTAAGGCTGGTAGAGGAAGTTCAAGACGACACAGTAGGGGTTTCTCCTGACGGTGGGAAGGAAGCACGGTGGACGTGCTTGGGATGACACAGAGATGCCGAGAAATGCGTGGGGACCCCGAGGGGGTCAGCGCAGGACGCCCAAGGTCAGCCGTCTCGGAACTGGACTTTCCCATGATCGTGGCAATTTTCCACTTGCGACCTGACGGCGGGGAGGGCACAGAGGGGTCCTCACTTACAAAGCGCCGAGGACCAGGACTCCAGCCAGATCCCTTCGCTGGGCTGGTAACAGCATTGATGGCCACACAAGTGAGCAATGTTTTCCTTCAAATTTTAGAACTTGGCGTAGTCCAGTCATTCATATAATTCCTGAAACCCCATCTAAGTTTTAAGAAAATGTCTCCGTATTCTGGAACTCGAAAAAATAGAACAGCGAGGACATTTTGTTTAAGCGAGGGATGGTGTTAGAAAGGGGATTGACTCTGGACATTTGGAGGAAAACTGAGTTTTCCTTCGGCCTGAGAATTCCCTTTCTGAATATTATCTGGGACAAAGTAATCTCTGTCAGTTCGACTTGCCCTCTGGGTTTACGACTCTGTGTGGATACAAGGAGTGACATGGGGCGACCGTGCCTGAGGGTGAGCGGAGAGTCACGTGACTCTGCCCCGGGAAGGGGAGCGGGGCCGCCTCTGCGCAGAGGAGCCAGGTCTGAGGGGCTCTGGGTCCCACCGACTTGGTGTCATATCACCACTCCCTGGCAGATTCGCCATTGTCTGAGCCACTTAAACTATGACGCCCTACGGATCGCGAGTCACAATCCCATGTTCAGATGTGTTGAAACTAGAAAATCTCATGTTCTCTACACCCGATTTAGAGTGGCCTTTCTTGGCCAGGGCACCCTGCAGCGAGAGCCTGGGGGCAGTGCCCTTCCGTGTGGACGCCGAGGGCCTTTGGGACATTTAAAATGCCAATGCCCCTGGGGGAAGGGGTGCGCTCTGCTGATTCCAAAGACCCCCATCTTCACGGCTTCCCACGTGGACCCTGCTGCCCTGGCTCCGAACACGTGTGCTTAAGCTACAGTTTAAAGTAAGACTTACACTACACACGGAAAATTGTCTACATGAAGGATAAAACTTGGTGAGGAAAGTAAATACACATAGATGGCAGAAGCCATCTTGCCCCTTGGCTGCACCTGCCCCGAATAATGAGGGTTTGCTGGGGGCCCTGCCCCTGCGTGGGTCTCTCCCACTCTGCAGCCACAGCACAGCAAAGGTTTTGGTTATTCAGTTTGCCCCTCGTTGGAGATTCGTCTTTAATGTGTCCTCCGCATTGCTCCCTGCAGAGGAAAAGCTGATGTGAAGAAGGCCAGACAGAAAGGTAGAGTGAGGAGAGACAAGGAGTCGGCGTGTAGGCAGGACGGGAGCTCTAGAAGGAGACAGCCCACTGTAAGGAGGACAGAAGACAGGAGAGAGGGCCTCCCTCCCACAGGTCCCCAGCCATGCCTCTGTTCACGGGGGGAGCTCAGCCCACCTGGGCAGGTGCTCTGGGCAGTTCTAAATGTTCTGAATTACTGTGGAAGGAAAGACATCATCCACCTTCCGCGAGTACACCAATATCTTATTTCGTATATTTTCTAACATAGAAAAGGAGCCTCCCACACTCTCTCCCATGTACTGTCTTGAGGATTAGCTCGCTGTGGATGTTACGATCAAAATAATTTTTCGAAGTAATGTGAAAAGAGTTACCCTCAAAAATATACATTTTTTAAATAAACAAGCAAAACTTTATAATGCCAAGAATATACTCATAAGCAATTAGCTTGGCCCTACCCTAAGAGGTGAATCATGTAATCTTCTAAAAATTACAAATGAAAGGAGTCAGTTTAAATTCTTAAATTCTTAAATTCTATCTGCAGAGATTCGGTTACTGATCAAATCCCGTATCGTAATGGCTCATGACATAATTTTTTATAATCGAATAGCGGTTACAGATTAAATTAACTTCGAGGATATTATATTTCAATTCTCTAGGAATAGTAGTATGCCATTTGAAATTTTTCCATATAATTGCAAGTTTTGAATTAGAGTTGGTTCAAGAATTACTGGCAACTTTGGCAGGGTAAGAAAAATCATCTTAAATGCATCTGCTTATGGCAGTACTATCGAATTCTTAACTTTAGAGCCTAATGTATTTCAGGAAAAGTTCTAAGATTCTCAGAACTATAATGCATCAACTGACGAATCAACAGCCAAGGTGGGAACATTTGCTGTTTGCTTGTCAAGAACCAACTGAGTGTCTAATACTGAGCCAGGCGTGTTGGGGAGAATGGGAAGCCATGAATAAAAAGTGGGGCACACAGCCCTGTCTCCAGGAGCTTCAAACCCAGCTGGGAGATAAGAGAGGAGGAACTCCAAGGGCGTAATACTCAGCCGTGTGCAGAAGTGCAGGGCCCTGGAAGGGAACAGGGGAGCCCGTGATGTCTGATTCTGTGCATGTTTTGAACTGTGAGGCTCAGTGCTTCCCAGCCAGGCTGGAGATAG